TGCTTACTTGTTATGCAGTGCTCACACAAAGTAAGTGATACCTCTGTTAAGCATGGAAGTAGTTTTTGCTCCACAAGGACTTTCATTCCTTGTTCTGACATGTGTCCAAGTTTCTGATGCCATAGCATTGCAGAATCTTAATACATGAGGCAACAGAGGCTTCTGCTTCTAGCAAAGTCTCTCCCTTCAGGTACAAGTTGTGCTATCTTCGCCTTTCAGCGCCACAAGCGCTCACGAAAACCTTCATGATTCCTTTCTGTGTCTCAATCTTGCTTGCATTATTATCCAACAATCCGTAGGATAATAAATTTTCTTCAGGCCCTTCACGTGTCGCACATCTCGAACAACTTTGATTGTTCCATCATACATCTTCAATTTGATGGTTCCACGCCAACGATATCTAAGGCATGATCATTGCAACTATACACAGATCCTCCTGAGACAGGTTCATAATGATGGAACCATTCTCTTCTTGAGGTCATGTGATATGTTGCTCCCGAATCAATAAGTCATATATCTGCAAATCGTTTTCTTCCTTCTACGGTGGTTGATGCTTCACAGCATAGAGCATCTCCATCATCTGAAGTGTTTGCGGTATTGCCTTGTGGATTGGAGTTTTTATTTAGACTCCAACAATCCTTCTTCAAGTGACCCTTCTTTCCACAGTTGTAACACTTTAAATTCTCTTGCCGACTTCGATCTACCATGTTTGTGACTGCTGCTTGGCCCGTTTGATCTTCCTTCATCGTTGTCATCGTTGTCAAGCTTCTGCTTGTTGCAGATTTGTCTGTTCCTTATTCTTGCGTCGATTTTCTTCTTGTAGAACAGCAGCTGCAACATCATCGAAGACTAAACTGGTGACATTACTGTTTGTCAAGTTGATGATGAGTTGATCGTATGAATCCGATAGACTTTGAAGTAGAAGTTCAGCACGTTCTTGTTCTCCTATTTTACAGCTTAAGGATGTAAGCTGAGAAAATAAGGTGTTCAGTGTATTTAAGTGCTCCGTCACTGAAGTAGATTCTGGCATACGGAGAGTATACAATTTCCTTTTAAGGAAAATTTTATTGTGCAGCGATGTGGCCTCGTACAATTTGGTGAGATGATCCCATATCTCCTTAGCTGTCTTCTTCTCCTCGATGCTTGACAATACTTCATCTGCTAATGCTAGATGAAAGTTTGCCATAGCATTCCCGTCCATCTCGTTCCATTTGATGTCATCTGCAAAATCCACCGGCCTTTCACTGATAGCCGCTAGACACCCGTCTTTCCTCAGGATGGCCTTCATCTTCAATTTCCACAATGAGAAATTTCTCCCATTGAATTTTTCAATATCAAATTTCGTTGCCATAGCTTCTTTTACGGATAGCTCCCACTATTTCACTATCGTGAATAGTTCTCTGGAACCTTCAAAGAATGGGCAAAACCTTCTTACTTTCTTATGTTAGAGGATCCACCTTTTGGTGGCAACCACAAAGATAATAAGCAGATATTACACACTCTAATCTAGCTCTGATACCAATTGTTGCGGAAGACGTCTATCAGATAGAGAAAAAATCGCAACTGATAATTTGAGAAAATAAAAATGAAGATAAAAGAGACACAAAATTTACGTGGAAAATCCCTAAATATTTAGGGTAAAAACCACGGGCAACGGTAGAAGAATTTCACTATGAAAAAATAGGAATTACAACCTCTCTCGATCGACCAAGGAGAAAACAATGATAATTCTCTTGATAAAAAGGAGAAACAACTCTCAAGAAACTCTTAATATTCTCTCTAGTATTGGAAGAAAGCTAGAATGCTTTGGGATGGTTTTGAAGCTAAATGAGCTAGGGTATTTATAGTTGAAACTAAGGAAATCTTGTAAATACCCTAAAAGTACAATGACTAAATTAACATTTTTACCATTTGAAAATTCAACATTTTCAAGCTTAATAATTTTGATAGCCGCCCATGTCATAGCCGCCCATGTTTTGTTTCCTTTCAACAATAACTTGTTATCTGTGAAGGTGTTTGGTTACAAAGGCTCATAACCGAACTAGAGATTTGTGACGAAAAACATTTTGAAATTTAGAGTGACAGCAAGTCGGCAATAAGTATTGCGAAGAATCCAGTACATTTCGACAGAACAAAACATATAGATCGACAGACACTTCATTGTAGAGAAAGTGAATGGTGGAACTGTAAAGCTAAACTCTCTTCACAAAATCAGCTAGTTGATGTATTAACCAAGGCAATTCCGAGGATTACTTTCGATGAAATTACATCCAAGTTGGTTTTATAATATTTACCCAGTTTGAGGGGGAGTGTGAGTTGTGTTAGGTTTAACTCTAAGTTTCTCACTTTATCTCTAATTCTAATATCTTAGTTTGTAGGAATGACAACTTCCGATTTACTTAGAACTCTTATCTATTCCCCTACTACACCGCCGTCTTTCACCATCCGTTAAGGTCCATGGGGTCACCACTGCTAACCCTTCGAACATAGAGTATGCTCTCAAGACCAACTTCGAGAACTACCCTAAAGGGGAGCGGTTCATTGGGATTTTCGAGGACTTGTTCGGCCAGGGTATGTTCAACTTGGATGGTGATCTTTGGAAAATTCAGAGGAAAACAGCTAGCTACGAGTTCAACACCAAATCTATTATCTATGAGAAATTTCATCATGGACAGGGTTAGCTCGAGATTTCAACGAGGTTGATTACGTTCCTTGACAGCTTCGGGAACGAATCAGTATTGTAGAATGATGATATTCGTATTATGTGTTTTATTTATATAAATCATGCACAATGCTCGACTTGAAAACAATTTGACTTGTGTATGACTCATCTCGTTGCTTATTAAATTCATTAAGTTTTTGTTCGACTCGTACTCATTAAATAAACTCGTTGCTCGTTAAACTCGACAGAACTTTTACCTTTTTTATACTTACACATATATATATGGGTTAGTATCCACTTACAAAATGTAAATTTTTTAGTTTACACAGATTTAGGACCGTTGGATGAGGTGAAAATATATGGCTGATATTAACTCCTTGTTTTTTCTAGTAAATATCTTCACATTCGTACTTTAATCTCAGTCATATGTTTTCACTTATACAATGGTCTTAAATCTATGTAAAACTAAAAGAATTTTACATTGTATAAAGGATCCTGCCATATATATATAATCTAGTAAATTATAAAGCTTATATAAAAATAATTAAAAGTTTAACCTAAATACATAGACACTCGTTCAATTAAATTGTTTTAGGGATTGTGTTTTAGGGATTGTGTTTTGAAATGAACTTGCAATTGAGGAAATTTTGGGGTTTGATTATAAGGTAAACTACATAAATGACCACTCAACTATGGATTTAGTCTCGAAATGACCATAATTTTTAAATTTGTGTTAATATGACTACTGAACTATTTAAATGGTTTCAATATAGTTACATATTGTTAATATTTAATAGAAGTGTTTAAATGGCAAATAACAAAATTCGTATAATTAGGGCACGTGTCCTTGTAAAGTTACGTATTCACGGCGCTAGAATCCTACTGGTTTCTTCGTTTTGGTCATTACTTTTATGTTTGTTTCCTGGATTTTCTTTTAATGCAATTTGATCCTAATTCTGTTTTTACTTTGTCTAATACCTTAATTCGAGCATTAACTTTAAAATCTTTTATCTAGTCATATATAAATTATAAGTTAATATCATAAATTTTAGACTTAATTATCGAGTCAATTCTCACCCTTATTACCAAGATAATGCATTGTAACAAATCAAGATTAATTTAAAGAAGTGAGGGGACAAAACAAGGATGAAGTGGCAGCAAGCAATTGAATGATTTGACAGCAGCTCATGTAACCTTAACAATTAAGTTGAAGATAAGCTGCATTAATTAAAGGATTTAGTACGGCAAGGAAGAACATTGTAGCAACTAAGGCGGTAAATCTCTCCTATATATATGTATTCGAATTAAGAATGAGTCTGTAATGTGCGTGAAAAAAAACGAGAGTAAGAGTAGAGTTTAGCAAAGCTTTTATTAGTGGAGTTTATAACCTAGCTGAAATTAATGCTCATGTTGTACTCGTATTTTGTTTCATATTAATGATATTGTATGGGTTATAAATTTATCGAATGCTCAACAACACTTCCAATATATTAAATGTGGTCTTTATACGGTAAGTTATTCTTAGAAACGTAGTTGTTTCGAAATTGAGTATGGAGTATCAAAACTCCCCAAGTCTATTGCAATAGAATCATCAAAATTTGATCAAGAGTTTCGAAATTCATTACGTACACCGATGAATATAAGAATACTTGTATTTAAAATCATCATATTTGATTCACTGATGTTGAGGGCTACATGAGTAATATTTGGTTGCATATTGCAGCAAAAGTATCGTCAAGTCCCATTAAAATCTAAACGAACATTTAAGAAGGGAAAAGGAGATAGAATGAATGTGGTAGGGTTTAACACCACCACACAGTCAAGGACATGGGGATACATATGTAATATTTTGTGGATATATTCGCAAATTAAATAAGAGTTTTTCACACATCCCGTAGCATCAGCTAGCAAATAGGGATAAACCAACAGCAGGTTCATTACAAAGTTAATTCCACCAAAGGATCATAAAAGACTTACTCAAAACACCATATACAGCAGTTTTTAGATCTTTCCTTTACAGATGTGATGAAATCCTTCATTCTTTCCCATTCTCCTCAACGCTTCTCTCTTCCTCCTCAGCAGCCTTGGCATTGGCCTCATACTCCTTTCCCAATGCTTCCAACTCCTTTTTCATTTCCTTGGAACTTATGAATATCCATTTCGTTCAGCCAACAAGGCAGCAAGTTTTTGCTCTACCTCCTTATATCTGACTAGATTACGATCCAAATTACAAGTAATCGTCAGCTTGATGGATTCCTTTTCCGTAAGTTGGATCTTGTCCTGCGCTGCTTTCGCAGCTCGATTGGCTAGTTCTTTCAAGCTTCCTCCATGGCAACAACTCATTTTCTGCTCAATTGTAAGGGTGGTAGAGGAACAATCGAAACTAGCTAGGATCTTGAATGCCTGCTTAAGTGAAAAACCTTCCCTGAATGGCAGAGATTAACTGGGGTCATACTCAAGGCTTCATCTAATTTAGCCAGTGCTTCCATTGCTTCTTCTTTAGAAAAAACAGAGTCATGGCTTGAAAGCTCAGACTCTAAGCTAGTGAAAAATGTCTTTATATCTTCTTCTGTAGGTTCAACGGCCTGAAATGGCGAAAAGAAAACAATGAGAGAGATAATGAGTGCATTGATATTAACAACTAATTTACCTGACTTCCAACATTCTGGCAAGGTGGGTTGGTGGAGGAGTTGTGATTTCTACTGGTTCGGTTTTCGCAGTTGTCTGGATGTCTATGGTTTCCTTCACGTGATCACCTTCCACGGTCTTGTTTATCCTCATCCGTTTTGGAGTATGAATCCTTTGAAATGAGACCTGGAGTGCTATCAGTGGAAATATAGGCTTCAACTAAGCATGCATCATTGACGAGGTAGCCTCTTTTAGGGTCGTTTAATTCACAAAGTGCTAAGAATGAAGAAAAACCCCAATTACCAGACGTCGCGTTGAACTCCTGTGTAGCGACTGGGAAAAAACAAGAGAAACCAGTTCTGGTCATTTTATATGGAAGGCTCGAGCATTATTCACCACCGAGCCAGGGACCAGGGGTCACACAAATAAATGCTCAGCCCCCAAAGAATATAATGCAAAATAGCAGAGGTGAACATATTGTAAACAGAAAAAAGAGGCTGAACAAAATCAAAAGAGGTTTGATGAGGAGGAAACCAAATCAGTATTTTCGTATTGGTAAACACATTAAATAAAGTAAAATGTGATTGCTGTAACAAAAGACCTTTAGTAAAAGATTTCTGCGATCAATTTGGTCGATGACTGCAAATCCGTATTGGCAAATCGACTCCATCCTGAAGGCAAAGTTGCTGAATCTGCAATTCCTAAATAAATTGACAGAACATCCATGTTGTTCCCGGGTAGATAATAAGCCGCCTGCCCAAATAATTTGCAAATATAAGTAAAATGCAAATGAAAACATAAGCGACGAGAAAAGGAAAACCAAAATACCATTTGTTGCCATCAACCGTAAAATTTTCAGAGTAGATCTTTATGTCTTTGATTGGAAAAATTCTCAATCCTCCAAGTGACTTGGTTACTTGGTCCATTAACACCCTCAGACTGAGGCTTATAGCATCCACTGCATCCAAAATTTCAACCTTCATATGACCTTGGGAAGATTAGACCCACTTGCTATTCACTGCACTCATATTTCAAACATGACAAAAAGAAATCGGTTTAGACATTTCCTTGGAACGATTAGAATTTGGGAAAGCAAAACAAAACGTGAGGGAAGATCATATAAGAAGAAGGGTACAAGTGTTTACAAATACCTTCCATTAGAGAATGTGGTGCTCAAAGTGAAGGAAATTCAGGGTTCCAAGCGTGCGTTCCGAATTTGATAACAAATATTCACAAAGTCTTTCTTTCCTATAAAGCCTTTGTCGACTCTTAAACTACTTGGCCTTTAAGTTACCATTTACTACTCATCTTAATTAATAGATAATTTTTTTAAATATTAATCTATTATTTTAGACTTGAATATATTTTAAATATTTAACCTAATTATTTTAGACTTGATATATTTTTAAATATTTAACCTAATTATTTAGATTTGAATATTTTTAAATAGTTAACCTAATTATTTTAGACTATATTTTAAATATTTAACCTAATTATTTTAGTCCTTGAATGTTATTACTAGTTTTCAACAGCCTTTGTCAAAAGAAAGAAAAAAAGTTTTCAACACATGAGATGCACATTAATCACATATCATATTTCACATAAATTTCTTTATATTTGATTGTTTAGTTTATAAAATGACGAAAGCAATGATGTTAATCATTGAGAAATATGATATATTACATGACAAAGTCACTAATATTTGAGTAAGTTTTTATTTTTCCCACTAAATTTTAGAAATAACAAATTGGTCACTAATGTTTCTATTCAGAACAAATGATCATTCAACGTTAACAAATGTGACACGTTAAATAAATAGATTATCTGACACTATTTTATCACAAATTCGACTCTCCAAACTTTTGGCTGATCTTCTCTTCAGTGATGAATATCATAACAAAATCACAATTAAATGTTACAGAGCTCACGAACCAAATTAATTGACAATGCATACACACCATATATATGTAATTGCTCGAACTTAAGATCTCTAGGAAGAATAAACATCTTATTTTATTAGCCAGAAACTTAACAAATTATAATCATTTGATAATATATAACATATTCATGTGGACACATATTTACATTTGATAATATATAACTTATAAGCCGTCTACACAAATGATTCAACTAACAAAGCACTTCAGTCATATTAAATTGATTCAAACTCATTTGAAAGGCTGTTTAGTGCTTTTAATCAATAAAATTGTGCCTTCATCATTTATATTAAATATTGCAACCTAACAAGGAAACTCGGAGAAGAACTGCAAAGGTTCACGATTACCATCGTAATTTACTTCCGATGGTCTAATACACTGCTGGTCAAAGCCTTCAGTACATTATTGGAAACTTGCATTAATTTTACGGTAAATTTAAGAATGGTATATAGTGTTCGAGTACGCTTTCGTTACCACTGAAGTTTTAAAAGTAATAAAGGGGTCACCAATTATTGATTTATACACAAATCGGTAACTTACCATTACAACCATTATACAATATCGAAAAACTGATGTGGTACATTAAATCGATGACCTAACACTATTTTTCATACATTTGACTTTTCAAAGTTTTGACCGACCTTTAAGAAAAAAAATTAAAGGAAAAAGTTCAATAAAATAGAAAAGAAGGAGAACAAGGAAAAAAAATAAACTTTTTCCAATTCCAGTCTTTTATTTATTTAAGTGTAGGGTGATGAGAGCTAAAGGAAATGGAAAGAGTAGCTTCTTGGATATTATCACGGTTGGAAAAAATGTGAATTACATTGATGGATTTAATATTTATATTAAATTTAGAGTTCTTTTAGATATTGTAAATTAAAAGATATGATTTAATTTGAATATCAGTAGGATAATTATTTTAAATGCCAATTTAAAATGTATGTGTTACCTTTTAATTTGAATATTAAAAAATAATTAATACTTTTGTGTATTTCAAATTAAAATAATGTTGTTTAATTGAATAATAAAAGGAGTGTATTCTGTTAATATTTTAAATTTAAAAGATATTATATCTATTAATTTATATATTAAAAGGTATATGGTTTGAGTAAATCTATCAGGTTTAATATTTTAAATTTAAAAGATATTATTATATGTTTCAATTTAGATATTAAAAGAGATTTAGTTAGAGAAAAACTCTCTCGAAATTCCCCTATAAATACTAAGCACATCTCTCAATTTTTTTCACAACTCAGAATTCAAGAAGCTTTCTTCTATTGAAAATATTTTCTCTTATTCTCAAAAAATATCCCTTTTCCCTTAGTTTTCCGATGAAGGCAAGAAAAGTTCGTAATCTCTATTGTTGTGATACTGTTGTTGATCATCTAGTTGTAGTATCTTGGGAGACAGATGACCAAAGAATCTCGAGCACCAAGGAGTGACAAAAAATATGTCTTAAGAAAAATGTGTAGCAGCATGCCTCAACTGATTATGATATCAGGATCAAATTTCTTGTGATTCTCGTTTATTTTTTTTATAAGAATTTGATTCTTTCTTTTCTTTTTCTTAGGTTTCGATTTAGCCTAGGATTGTTACTCTCGGATAACAATCTTAAGACAAATTTCTCTTATACCTTTCTTGATCCGAGGTAATTCGAAATTATGGGGAAAACGAAATATGAGATAGTAAACAAATTTATTTGAGATTTATGTTGCCGTCTTACGGGTTTACTAGAATCTCAAGTGGACAAATCTGTATAAAAATTGCCATAAAAGTAAATGTAGTTACTGATTTGTTTCGAATTTTGATTCTGTCTAATAACAAAATCTAATTTTTCTTAGGTTTCGATTTAGCCTAGGATTGTTACTCTCGGATAACAATCTTAAGACAAATTTCTCTTATACCTTTCTTGATCCGAGGTAATTCGAAATTATGGGGAAAACGAAATATGAGATAGTAAACAAATTTATTTTGAGATTTATGTTGCCGTCTTAACGGGTTTACTAGAATCTCAAGTGGACAAATCTGTATATAAAAATTGCCATAAAAGTAAATGTAGTTACTGATTTTGTTTCAGAATTTTGATTCTGTCTAATAACAAAATCTAAATAAACTAGAATTAATTTCTGTTTATTGAAATTATTTATAATTCAGGTTAAGTTTCTTTAGAAAAAAATGGAGACGATAGACTCTACCAGTTCACACAACATGAATACTGAGATGGTAATACTAGTTCATAATCTAAATCTAAATGTGAGTCAATCGACTGTGTAATTAATCACAACGAAAAGCCAACAAAATTCTGTGTTGAGAAATTCAAGATGTGACAACAGAAGATGACTTTCTATTTGATCACAGGTAACCTTTCAAGGTTCTTGAAGGAAGACCCTCCTGTTATAAAAGATGGATAAGATAATGTTACTGCTTTCAATATTGTTGAAGCTTGGAAGAATTCAGACTATATATGAATATAATACTGAATTGTCTTCAGAGATTCACTATATCCGATTTGTATTTTTTCTTCTTTGCATGGTTGGTGATTTACTATTGTGTTGACTTTTTTTTCTTGTTTCAACAGTTCAGGTTGTTAAATCTTGCTTCTTCAATCGTTAGTTTCTTTTTATGGATTTTTGAAGTTTGGAGGTAAGTGATGAGTTCTTCTCTTTTGATATCGAATTTTAGTTCTTGTTTGTAAGCTACGGTTCTAGTTTGATTTGATGAAAAGATTATTGGGAGTTTTGTTCTTCTTAGAAAGATCAGATCATTTATGTGTGAAATTGGCCTATCAGTTGTTTCTAGATATTGATGATAAACTGGTGATTGTATTTTTGAAGTAGGAATTTCTAGTGTGAGAGTAGATGGGGAATACTTGTGTAGGACCAAGCATTTCAAAAAATGGGTTTTTCCAATCGGTTTCGGCAGCAATGTGGCGGTCTCGATCACCAGATGACTCGGTCTCTCATTCTAATGGGGAAAACCGGGAGTGAGATGGCAGCTAGAGAGCCTGAATTGCCATTACCAGTCCTAAACAAAACTCCAGAGCAAGTGACAATGCCAAAACCGGAGACCAAACAAGAGGCTAAACTGGAAACTGAACCCGAAAACCAGTCAAACCCAATCTCCCTCATGAGAAGAGGGTGTCCAGTGCCGGGCTCAAGGAATCGGTATTACAAACGAGGACTGGTATTTTCAAGGAACATTACAGCCTTGGGAGAAAACTAGGACAAGGGCAATTCGGGACGACTTTCCTTTGTGTGGAGAAGTCAACTGGAAAAGAGTATGCTTGCAAATCGATCGAAAAGAGGAAGTCTTGCAAATCGATCGCAAAGAGGAAGTTATTAACTGATGAGGATGTAGAGGATGTGAGAAGAGAGATTCAGATAATGCACCACTTGGCTGGGCATCCAAATGTTATATCTATAAAAGGAGCTTATGAGGATGCCGTGGCAGTTCATGTCGTTATGGAGTTGTGTGCTGGTGGAGAGCTTTATGATAGAATTATTCAGCGCGGACATTATACAGAAAGAAAGGCAGCTGCACTTATGAGGACTATAGTCGGGGTTGTGGAAGCTTGCCATTCTTTGGGTTATGCATAGAGACCTCAAACCTGAGAATTTCCTTTTGTCAATAAGCAGGAGGACTCGCTTCTCAAGGATATTGATTTTGGATTATCGATTTTCTTTAAGCCAGGTATAGGCTGTTTGATCTTATTCTCTTCGATTACCCAACAATAAGAAAGAAAACAAATGGAGGATAAAATACTTGAGACAAGTGTGTAATTGCTCAATTTGTATTCCCCCTTGTATATGTTCAAGCTAACCAAGTCTTTTCAAATTCAATCTTCATTTTCCGTTTGAAACTGCATGGTTCGAAATTAAGAAATTCTTTGACAGGGAGAGCTTATTCATGCAAATAATTCCTGTCATAAATGTGATATTGCATTACAATGCCTTGTAAAATTACAAAAATATGTTCTATCAGTCGTAGACATTACATTTCAAATGATTTGTGACACTTGGGTGCCATGAAATGCTGCTAGCTCTAAGATGATATCTGCTACTAGCTTTCTTTGGTTTGCTTGTAAAATGTTTATTTAAAGAGCTTTATTTATGCTTTGATTTTCAGTTTGCATTGTCAATATAGCAAAAATACCTAAAAAGTTTGACCCCACATGATTTGCCATCACCGGTAGAGGAATTAAGTGAAGATGTGCTTTATTTAACACTCTCTTGGTCATCATTTCCATGCAGGTGAAAGATCACAGATGTGATCGGAAGCCCATACTATGTAGCCCCTGAAGTCTTACGAAAGCGTTGGTCCAGAAGCAGATGTATGGAGTGCAGGAGTAATTCTTTACATTCTCTTAAGTGGAGTTCCTCCCTTTTGGGCAGGTAAGGAATTTCTAATTGATAAGATTTTCTCTATTTTTAATTTAGCCAAGTACAATTATTTTAGCTGCCCATTTGTTTACATCATCATGATTATGTTTCGATCTTCACGGTCATGATGTAGAAAACGAGCAAGGTATATTCGAAGAGGTCTTGCATGGTGACCTTGATTTTGATTCTGATCCTAGGAGACGGTTAACTGCACATGAAGTTTGTATAAGTCGCATTCTTTTACTCCGGTCCAGCTTTTTTGTTACCATAGAACTTTTAGGATTTATTAAGTCTCCATTTCATTATTGTTTTTGCCTTTTTTTCTGTTGCTCCAAGAGGCAAAAGACGCTGACTATCAATTTTTCTGTTGCTACTAGCTCAAAACCTATGCAGGCCACCCTTGGATACAGATTGATGGTGTTGCTCCTGACAAGCCTCTCGATTCTGCGTTTTAAGTCGTATGAAGCATTTTCCGCAATGAATAAGCTGAAGAAAATGGCCCTTAGAATAAGTCTCTTGAATGCTATGATTAGACACAATGGTGGATGCTCCGTACGAAACCCATTCATCATAATGTTTATGTTTAAAACTTCGTTCTTTAGATTTTCTAGTTTTTTTTATCTGTTATTTTGCTTTTTTTTTCCCTTGTAGGTAATCACGGAGAGCCCTCTGAAGAAGAGATAGCTGGCCTGAAAGAAATGTTCAAGATGATAGACGCCGACAGCAGTTGTCAGATCACCTTCGAAGAACTTAAAGCAGGATTAAAAGAGTTGGAGCTAATCTTAAAGAGTCTGAAATTTATGATCTTATGCAAGCAGTAAGAATAAGACCCAAATTATGATCTTTGTTCTGTACATGATACTGTATTAATTGGGAATAAGCAATGACAAGTTGTGTCTAATGCAAATGTCTTCAACCATACAGGCTGATGTTGATAACAGTGGCACGATCGACTACGGGGAATTCGTAGCTGCAACACTGCACCTAAACAAAATCGAGAAGGAAGACCATCTATTTGCCGCCTTTTCTATTTTGATAAGGATGGCAGCGGTTACATCACTCCGGACGAGTTCCAACAAGCTTGTGAGGAGTTTGGCATAGAGGATCTTCTCCTTGAAGAAATGATCAGAGAAGTTGATCAAGATAATGCAAGTGATTTTGTTTTATTTTTTAATTTTAATTCGATTATTCATCGTATAGTTGGCTAGAAGAAAGAAAGAAGAAAGAAAGGGATCATATCCCTTTCCCTAAATGCATCCATTGATATAACCAAATCCTTCATTTCAAAAAGAGAACCATGAAAAAGAACTTTGTTGCCAATATGCCATTATCCACTAATATTGTATTTTACGGTTCATATGCAGGACGGACGCATAGATTACAATGAGTTTGTAGCGATGATGCAGGGCGGGAATATTGCAGGTGCCGATAAGAAAGGCCTACAAAACAACTTTAGCATCAAATTTAGGGAAGCATTAAAAGTTTAGGCAAGTTTTTGAGGGAACTGAGATTTGTATAGTAAGGGAGTAGCCATTGTGATGCAAAGAACATGCATGTCTTTGCATGGAGCACTTGGCCATTTTCTTCCACCTTTTTATGCTATTAAATTTCTCTTCCACCATGTTTTATACTTTATACCGAAAGGAATCTGTGCTTTCATGGACTATCGACTGTCGTTTCACTTTGTTATTTTTTTCTCTGTATTTTTATTATCTATGTTTTTATGACATTCAATTTGTATATTCATGCTTCTTGATATTTTTCTCTTCCTATAATGCATAATCTGTATGCTTGTTCTTGATATTTTTATTTGAAATTTGATATTGTAAACGGAGAAAATAGGACTAGTTGTATTTTTTATAACTCGATTTGAATTAATCAATCAGTAGATTGAATATTCGTAATATTATGAAAAGAATAAATAATGTTGAAAAGAATAGTGAATGGATAAAAAAAATTGTGAAGCAGTGTGATTGGAGGAGCAACTAGCAAAAAATTATTCATTGTATTTTGATGTTTATAATAAAGAATTTTTTTAAAAAAATTAGCAACTAGTGGAAAATGAATTATACAACATTATTCAAACATAGTAAAATGATTTCCATAAAAAATACTTTCCAGGAAATGAATTAATTTATGGAATTTATTTTCCGGAATCTATTTTCCGTGAAACAAATAAACCCGAACTTGTGGTAGGGTTTAACATCACCACATAGCTCAACGATACAACATAGAAATACATATGTAATATTTTGCGGATAAAGGGAGAAATTCACAAATTAAACAAGAGTTTCATACACAGATTCTACAATAGCATCAGCTACCAAAAGATAAACCAACATAATGTTGAAGTTGAAAAGTAAAGACAAAACAAATGTTTGGCATCCATAATTGTTGAAGTTTAGTGGCAGCCGACGGCTAAATGAAGAAAACATGGGCTACCTAATTTTGTTGAATTTAGGCTTGGGTTAATCACACATTTAGTCATTGCACTTTAGAATATTTTCAAAGATTAGTCCCTAAGCTTCAACTATAAATACCCTAGCTTATTTAGCTTTAAAATCATCCCAAAATCAATTTCTTTCTCCCAATACTAAAGAGTTAGAGAGTTCTCTGTGAGTAGTGAATGTTTTATAAACACCTGTAAATTTTCTCTCTTTAGTAAAAGATCTATAGCAGTCTGGAGACGTAGGCAAAAATTGGCTGAACTCCGTTATCAATTTCGGGTATTATTTTTCCGTTTTTATTTCGCATTCTCACTAATCTGGTTATAGGAAAATTATTTGTACTCGGTTTATTTTCCAACAACTGGTATCAGAGCTTTTGGTTGTAAATTTTGTCAATTTTTTACGAGGTTACTATTTATTACTATTAACGTGAATAGTGAATTTCGTGAATAGTAAAAATTTTGTCGGTGATACGAGTTTGTCGACGGAGGTGTTATAATACACGGTGATTCGCACAAATTGTTAGAAACGATCCAAAGATGCCAGATTCGAGTGGGAGCGATGGCTGCAGACGAAGAGAAGGTGAAAATTGAAAAGTTCGATGGTGCAAACTTTGGCTTTTGGAAGATTCAGATTGAAGATTTTCTGTACCAGAAAAATCTATATCAACCTCTCACAGGAAAACAACCAGAGGGCATGAAGAATTAAGACTGAGCCCTTCTCGACAAACAAGCCCTCGGAGTTATCCGACTGACGTTGTCCCGCAATGTTGCTTTCAACATAGCAAAGGAAAATACCACGGCGGGTCTTATGGCGGCTCTCTCCAGTATGTATGAGAAGCCATCAGCCTCAAACAAAGTTCACTTGATGAGGCGATTATTCAATTTGCGGATGGCAGAAGGGGCATCAGTGGCTCAACACTATCACAACCCAGTTGAGTTCCGTGGAAATTGAATTCGATTATGAAGTTGAGCTTTAATTCTCTTATCATCTCTACCAGACAGTTGGAATGCTACTGTTACAGCAGTTAGCAGCTCGTCGGGAAACAACAAATTAATATTCGACGATGTTCGAGATTGGTATTGAGCGAAGAAATTCGACGGAGAGAATCGGGTGAAGCATCACCTCCTCAGCCTTGCACACGGAGTCTAGATGGAGAACTTCAGAAAGAAATTCAAATCATGGAAGATCCAAATCCAGAAGGTAAAATAAGAATGAGAAAGAAATATTATATCTGTTATAATTGTGGCAAGAAGGGTCACTTTAAAAGATATTGTCGAGCACCGAAGAAAGATACCGATGCACAGGAATCTGCCAACGTGATAGAGGAGACAGGTGATGCCATGATTTTAAGCGTAACAGTCTGATTGAATCATGGATCTTGGATTCAGGGGCATCTTTCCACTCTATTCCATGCCGAGAAATCATGGAGAACTATGTCAGTGGTGATTTTGGGAAGGTTCATCTAGCTGATGATGAAACCTTGAACATCGTTGAAAAAGGAGACATTCGACTAAAGTTGCCAAACCAGACCACCTGGACGCTGAAAGGAGTGAGACATATTCCTGACCTCAAAAGAAATCTGATTTCTGTAGGACAGCTTAATGGAGAAGGTTATAGTACAACCTTTTCAGAATGTGAATGGAAGATTACCAAAGGAGCACTCGTCATTGCTCGTGGTAAAAAGACTGGTACTCTCTATATAACCTCAAATTTAGAGAATATCATTTCTGCAGCAGATACTGATGGAAAATCAAACCTATGACACCAAAGGCTTGGTCATATGAGCGAGAAAGGGATGAAGACACTTTTGTCAAAGGAAAGCTACCGGATCTAAAGAATGTAGATGTCGAACTATACGAGGATTGCATCTTGGCAAACAAAAGAAAGTTAGCTTTGCAATGATTGGTAAGACACCCAAGGCTGAAAAGTTAGAGTTGTTCATACTGATGTATGGGGACCATCTCCAGTTCCATCTCTTGCAGGCTCATTATATTATGTCACGTTCATCGATGATTCTACAAGAAAGGTGTGGGTTTATTTTCTGAAGAAGAAATCAGAAGTCTTTGATACCTTAAGAAAATAGAAGGCCATGGTGGAAAATGAGACTGGTCTGAAAGTCAAGCGGTTGAGGTCTGATAATGGAGCAGAGTACATAAATCGTAGATTCAGAGATTTCTGTGCAAACAATGGGATCAAGATGGAGACAACAGTTCTCATGACACCGCAAAAAAATGACGTAGCAGAGCGCATGAACAGAACTCTGAATGAACGTGCCAGAAGCATGAGGATACATGTCGGATTACCCAAATTTCTATGGTTGAAGCTATTAACACTGTAGCTTACCTGATCAACCGTGGGCCCTCAGTTCCTTTAGATGGCAGAATACCAGAGGAAGTTTGGAGCAAAAAAGAAATAAACCTTTCACACTTAAGAGTGTTTGGTTGTATTTCTTACACATAGATTTTGCTGAAAGAAGTAAACTTGATGCCAAGTCCAATAAATGTGTCTTTGTTGGTTATGGTGGTGATGAGTTCGGTTATCGATTTTGGGACTATGAAAATCGGAAGATCATCAGAAGCAGAGATGTTATTTTCAATGAGAATGTGATATACAAAGACAGGGCAACCATAGAATCAAGTAGCTCCAATACCGAAGCTGAAACAAAGGAATTTGCTGAGTTCGAGGAGATTTCTGGAAATGATGTTCAAATCAGTCCTGAAGTAGTTCAAGAAGAACCAGGCACACCAGAACTGAGACGTTCCTCCAGAATTCCTAAACCAACCCAGCGTTATTCACCTTCTTTGCACTACTTGTTGCTGACTGACAATGGTGAACCAGAGTGTTATGATGAAGCAATGCAGTTAAAGGATTCAGTCAAGTGGGAGTCTTCCATGAAAGATGAGATGGACTCGCTTATGTCAAATCAGACGTGGGAATTAGCTGAATTACCACCAGGCAAGAAAGTACTCCATAACAAGTGGATTTACAGGATCAAAGAAGAGCACGATGGGAGCAAACGCTACAAAGCAAGATTGGTTGTCAAAGGCTTTCAGCAAAAAGAAGGTATTTACTACAATGAAATTTTCTCTCCAGTCGTGAAACTGTCTACAATCAGACTGGTGTTGAAAATTGTAGCTGCAGAGAATTTACATCTTGAGCAGTTAGATGTAAAAACAACTTTCCTTCATGGTGATTTGGAGGAAAAAATCTATATGAGGAAACAGAAGGCTTCATTGAGGCAGACAAGAAAAACCTGGTATGCAGGTTGAAGAAGAGCTTGTATGGTTTAAAACAAACTCCTAGACAGTGGTACAAGAAGTTCGATAGTTTCATGAGTAGCAGTGGTTTTACCAGATGCCAAGCAGATCATTGTTGCTACATCAAGAGGTTCGACAATAACTTAATTATTTTATTGTTGTACGTTGATGACATGCTCGTTGCAGGCTCAGACATGCAAGAGATTATAAACTTGAAGCAAAAATTGTCGAACCAATTTGCTATGAAGGATCTGGGCGTTGCAAAGAAGATTCTTGGGATGAGGATCAAGAGAGACACAAAGTCGGGGACTTCGATATTATCATAGGCTGAGTACATCAACAACGTACTCTCTAGGTTCAACATGCAAAATGCTAAACCAATAAGTACACCTTT